GGAGAAGGAGAGAGGGGAAGGGAGAGAGAGGGTTAAAATGGGGAAGAGGATAAGGAATAGGACACGCAGAAGAAGACAAATTTAGGGAAAATAAAAAGGGAGAGAAAAAGCAAAGTGATGACTGGGAGGAGAGGAGGAACGGGAGAACGAGGAGCAGGAGAGTTAAGGGCAGAATGGGATAAAAAATAATGATAAAATAACCCAGGAAGTGTGAAGGAGAGAAAAACAACGATAAAAGCATAAAAAAAATCTAATTAAAAAAGATGAAAAAAACAAGAAATAAACAATCGTGACACCCCCCCCCCTCACACGACAGGCATGCGGAAACAAAACCAATATTTCCTCCCTTACATACTTCCTCGTTCATTCCCCTCCCTCTCTTCCCCTCTTCCTCCATTCCCATCTTTTTCATTTGCCCTGTTATCGTTGTTTCCACCTTCATCATCGATCTTCTTTGTTTTATGCTTTATGCCTTTATTATTTCTGCTGCTACTTTTTCCACCACATTTTACTTTTCTTCGCTTTCTCTTCTTCTCCTTTCTTCTTCTCTATTTCCCTTTCTACTTTTACCATCAATTGTTGTTCTTCTCTTTCTCTTCTTCCCTGTTACTATTCCCCTGCCTAAAGACGGTCTCGTTGCGTCTCCCTCACCCATAATCGGAAAAAGAAAGAAAGAAAGAAGATAAAAAAAAAAAATTATCCACGTGCTCGGACTTATGGGAGGGGACGGAAGGGAGGGAGGGGGGAGAGGGAGCGAAAGGACGGGAGGGAGGGAGGGAGGAAGGGGGAATGAGGATGAAGAAGAACTGAGAATAATAGTAACAGTAATTACGATAACGATAATGACGATGATGACAATAATAATAATAATAACAATAATGATGATAATGATAATAATAATAATAATAATAATAATAATAATAATAATAATAACAATAACAACAACAACAACAACAACAACTACAACAACAATAATAATAACAATAATAACAGCGATAATAATAATAACAATAATAATAACATCATCAACAACAACAACAACAGCAATAATAACAATAATTCTACGAGGAATAGGTCAAGAAGAAGGCGGAGGAGGAAGAACGAGGAAAAGTCGGAATAGGGGAGAATGAAGGATAAGAGCTGGGTGAGGATAAGGAAGAGGGGGAGGGGGAAGGAGAGGACCTAGAGGAGGATAATTGCAAGAAGAAGAAGAAGAAGATGAAGAAGAAGGAGGAGGAAGACGAAGACGACGAAGAGGATGAAGAGGAGGAGAAAGAGGAGGAGAAAAGGTAAGGGAAGAGGAAAATAGAAGGAAGAAGAGAGGAGGAGCAGTAGTAGGAAGAAGAAAAGAGGAGAGAAAAAAGGAAAAGAGTACAGAAAAAGGAATAGAGAAAACGCAAGCAATGACACTGGAGGACGGGGGAGGACGGGGAAGAGAGCGAGAGGCAAGAGAAGGAAGGAACAGGAGAAAGGGAGAAGAAACAAGAGAAGCAGAGAGAAAAAAGAGGAAAAATAGCAAGACAGTGGAAAGGCGGAGAAGGGAAGGGAGGGGGAGATAGGAGAGAGGGCAGAGGGAGAAGGAGGGGGGGAGGGAAGACGGAGAAGGGTAGGGGTGGGATGAGATGGGGGGGCGATACGGAGGAGGAGAAGGGGGAGGGGGAGGGGGAGGGAAGGAGGGTGGCAGGGGGACATTGGAGTAAGAAAGGGGTAGGGGCAGAGGAGGGGGGGGCAGGGTAGGGGGGGATGAAGGCTCTCTCACCCGCCTCAGGTGTCAGTGTCAAGACTCAGGTGTCAGGTGTCATGATGATACACCGATCGCTTTGACAGGAGCCGCATTGACAGGCATTCTCCATGGGAATCGGGGGGGGGGGGGGAGAAAAAAAACTGGGGGAAATGTATATATTTAGATAAAAGTGGAGAAAGGGGAGAAGGAGATAAAGAAAGAGGGGGGTGGGGGTAAAAGAGGGGATGAAGAAGACGATTAAGAGTGAATTGAGGGAAAGGGAGAGCGGAAGAGAGAGGGATTTTCTCCATTTATATCTATTTATTCACTTATTCAGTTCATTTATTTATTTCTATAAACACTCATAGAAAGGGACAAGTTTGCTTTTTGGTGTGCAAAGAAACCCAAAAGGATTAGAGGAGTTTAAGAAGAAGAAAAAGGTGATGGCGATAAAGATGAAGAAAATGCTAAAAAGAGGAAGGAAACTTTTAGAAGACGGATAAGAAAAAACGAATAATAATAAAAATAAAAAAAAGAAGAAGAAGAGAGAGACGAAGAAGAAAAGGGCGAACAAGAAATAAAAATCAAGAAAAAAAAACAGAATAAAAAGAAAATGACGAAGACGCAGGAGCAGAGGGAAAGAGCGAGAACACAAACCGGAGGACAGAAGAAAGAGGGAGAAGGAGACAGGGACCGAGAGCGAGAGAGCGAGAGGACGAGCGAGACAGCGAGACCAAAGCTACCTGAAGACCCCCCCCCCCCGTGGCCAGCAAAGGA